AAGGGCGGTGGTCACCGCCTGCCCGCGTCTCCACTCTCGTTGTCACAGATACGCTAGCGAAGCACACTCATTGGGGCATCCAGGTAACCGATGGAACACAGTGAAGACTCAGGGGGCGTTTCCTTCAGCTTTAGAGTAGTCACTCAGTTAGCTGCACCTGATCTAAAATTTCCATACAACATTTTAATTCCAGTTAAACTATTTTCTGCTGCTGTGCTTGGTCAAAACACCCACGAGACAGATTTATATTTATTAATAAAACTCGATTCCATAAACCTCCAGGAACACCTTCAAAAGCTTGAACCACATCTCGACATCCGAATTCCACTTCCGCTGTGTCCCTGCCCCTCCCCAAGCAGCAGAGCAGGCGCTGCTCTCGACGCGACGCGCAGCGGCCCGCTGGCTCCTCTCACCCGCTCCGCAGCTGGTGCTGCTGCGGGTCAGGCCACTGAAAAGCAAGGCCTAGAACCACCCAGAACGGTGGTCGCTAACAACATCGGGGTATTTGGAGGGACCTGAGCGTTTGCTCTTCTGTGAGCTTGCTTTGTTTGGCGATGACCAAGCCCAGCGCGTCACAAATGGAACTGCTGGACCCACCGGTCTGTTCGGTATCAGACTGCATTCATAGTCTGATGTAAGATGATACCCGAAAAGTCTTTAACATACAATCTGATTTTACCTCAGCTGTATGTGCTACCTGAGCATCAGTAACGGAGAACGTAGGGTAGTTTATACTCTGGTTGACATCACAGCTTTTATGTCTTTCAGAGCAAATTGTTTTCTTCTTGGAAACATGTACTTACAATGTTTGCTCTCAACTAGCAGCACCTGACAGCATTACACCTGGGCCCTTGTGGGCCCTTGCAGGATATGGAAGGTGAAATACTGCCGTGTTATTCACAACCCTCGGCCTCAGTTCTGGGCTGCATTTCAGCATGCACCTCAATACTTCCATTGAACAGCCACACCTTTCTAAACTGAAACCTCAGTCTGGAAGACAAACATCCTTCAAACATTGTCTGGCAACGTCAATGCTGGGCACCCAAATCACGCTCTGCAGGGTTTAAATGCAAGCACTATATAAATAAAGGTAAGCAACATGACAAACGTATTTCAGGCCAGTGTTCCAAACTGAACACCTGGCCTAAGGAGGAAAAGCCCTTTCTTTTTTCTGTGGGTTTAACGTAGATCCTTTAATAACTCCCACGAGAATATTAACAACCATTTGATTGAGACAGCGCTGGTAGCATAGCCTTTATCCTCATTTTTACTTATCTGTAACTGAAGTTATTTGTACTCCAGCCAGCCACAATATTTTGGCTGTCACAACAAATTATATTGCAGAGAACTGTGTTCTGCAACATAAGGACATTAAAAAGCAAGCCTTTTTGTCTCTTCCTCTCTGCAGAATTTCTGAAAAGAACATAAACTAAAACAAATCAAGCCAAAATTCGTACCATATACTTGCCTCTAATGAAAAAAAAGTTAGCAAGAAGAGAAAAAAAATAACTTGAATACACGATTTTTCAAACTATTCTTAGGTTTCCATAATGGAATAATTTGCTAAAATGTTGCCTAAGCAAGCAGAATCACTGTTTTAAATGCCTGGCTGCTTATATAAGTATCAGAATCTTACAGCCATTTCTCTAATGCCCTGTGTTCCAGTTTGCTTACCACCAGTACACACAGCATGCTCTGATTCGAGTCTCAGATGTTGACAAGTCATAGCTGTGGAATTCAGCCCTGCTGTAATCACTCGGGGAACAGTTTAAAGTAAAACATGCTAATTAGTGTGGTCATTGCAAGGTTCTTGGGGAAACTATCAAAACTTGCCACTTTCAAAGATTTTCTTCAGTATCTGGGGCCGAATTCTCTTCCACCAGTGGCCAGAAGAACTGCCCACAGATCAGACTGGTGCTTTGGTGTCGTATTTCCCAGGTACAGGTAAAGACCAGAAGAAAATCAGCCTCATTGCTTTTTGTTAGAAAATAAGAGTATTAAGGTAACGAAAAAGAAGGTCAAATGTTCAAAAATGATCTGCAAATAAAGAAATACTCTGCCTGTTTGCTCTGCAGTAAAAATGAACTTAGTTAGTCAATATTCAAGAGGGTTCTGCTACAAGGACTGAAAACAAAAGCAACACTGCTAGAGCCGATCAGCCACAAGTTCCCAGGATTTTTACTCCAGTTCTGTACGGTGTTCACCACACACCCCAACCAGGGTCCTGTGCAATCCGCAGAAGAGTGCCCGCACATGCTCACAGCTGTACTGAAGCAGCATTCTCGCTATCACCGGGCTACACGTGTCCCTGTAATCCAAAGGGTACTATTAAGACAATTACAATGGAAGCTTTTCTCTCTCATTACCTAATTCTGCCATGGACACAGTTGGAGAGGTCTCCCCATTTGTAAAAGAACAATAAGGGAAGAAGCCCGATGCTGGTGTGTAGTCACATATTGGTTCTGGTTTGATTCCATTAATATCAAGACCCGACTGATCTGGAGAAGGCTGTATGTCTAAGTAGAAGCTGCTAACTGCAGAGTCTGCTTTGCTACCTTCAGGAGTATGCCCATCAATGTAATTACTGAGGTCGTCGTGTAGCTCTGTTAACCCATTGGTGGTGATATTGTACGTTGGTGTTAGTGGTTCTGCCTCTCCTGGTTGCTGCTGATGGTCTCGCTGCTGCTGCTGCATTCGGTGTTTCTGTACCTCCGCGTACAGGCTGTCCCTCTGCTTTTTTGACATTCGACCGAACTTGACAGCTGAAACACAGACACATGACGTATTACATTTCTACAAGTCCACCACCGCGTTTTAATTGGCCTTGGTCTTTAAATACTACATGGAAGGACACGGCGCAAAAGGCAAATCAGCAGGATGGACAGACATACGAGTCATCCTGGCAGTTACAGGTAACACTGCTGCAGCATCTACTCTTTAAAAGGCTGTTTTAACATGCTACTTAAATGGACCATTAGAAGTCACTGGTTTAGCTTAATTCATTAGCTTTCCACTTCTACACGGGAAAGATTTCCTCTTGTGTGTCCACCGACGCTGACAGATGCATCTCTTTGCCATTCAAACCCTACCTAGAAAGGTAGAAGCCAAACCAGAATACTCTGGCCTAAGATGAGCTGCCCAGTTCCTACTAGCTGTATATTCGTACTAGAAATCGAACCTGGAGTTTGGTGTTAACGTGTGGGGTCCATCTCAAAGGGTATCAAAACCAAGCTTTACTGGCACTAGGACCGAAGCATGTCAGAAGAACCACAGAACCCGCTTCCAGTGCAGCTTACTGTGACAAGTAAAAATGTTTACCTGGTGAATTATTGCTAAAACTGCGTGTGTGGGTATACACGTGTGTCTGTGTACACGTGCGTACGTGCGCATGTATGTATCTCTCCACAAAATCATTACTACTTTGAGAAGTATTAGTATTAAGTGTAAGCCAGAAGCAACTGGTTTGCAGCATCCAGGGAATTCCTAGGATTGTGGTATGGTTTTCTGGGACCTGTATCAGCCATAAGAGCCCCATCATTTCAAAAGGTGACTGCCACCTTGTACTCTTCCACAGGAAAGCAGAGGTGTCCAAGTCGTTACACGACCAGCCGCTTCAGGTTTTCAGTTTGATGCGCAATAAAAAAACTAAGACAATAGAATTCAAGAAGCAAATGTTATCTGAAAATAACCTCCTTAATCTGGTCTCACGTACACAAGAGGGATGCATACATGTCTGTAAAACACACAGCGTTGCTGTCACGATGGCAGGGGAAAAGACTGAGTCGGATCTTCCCACTGGGTAAGCGATGGCAGCTTATTACATCTTTGGGGGAGGCGTCCAAGTATCAGCTGCAAACCCAGCTCTGCTCAAGTTACATCAGCTTACGTTTTACAGGGGTGAGTTTTCATCATTACACTAGGGGTAATTTTGAGCTTAATATTAACAGCACCAGAACACATTTTCTTCAGAACTCTATCTTTGAAAAAACAGTGCGCTATTTTCCATTATATTCTTTTCCATTAATATTCCATTACGCATTTTTTCCATTATTCATTACACACACGTTTAAACTTCCCTGTATGTTGTGAAACAGTTCTGATCTGTACCAATATGGCAATCCGAGTGTTACTTGCAACTATAGTATGTCACTTGGAATGAACACACAAAGAAAATACTAATATTAGACTAAAACCCGCATCTTCAGAAGTGACCCATGGCAAAGCCCTTAACTGGGAACTATAGCAGATGAGCAGGGAAAACAGTATATCCAAAAACTTCATGCATGCCCCGATTTATACATATTTATGTGAATATATAGCAACATATAAAAAACCACTCAATGATCTCAACTATCAGCCCAATATACGCACAATGAACTTGCAAATCCTATGGTGTTTCAGTTGAGCACACAGTATACTAAAGACTATCTTACTTCTTGCAATTTGGCTATGTGTTAGCGGAGCTTACCATCTCGAGACATCCCCACAGCAAGGCATTTCTGTAATCGACAGTGCTGGCAGCGGTTTCTACTGGTTCGGTCGATCAGACAGTTCTTCTGACGAGGACAGGAGTACGTAGCATTGCTTTGCTGACTCCTTCTGAAAAAGCCCTGTAATAGAATTGCAAAATACAAGTCACAAAGCTGTTAGCTGGTGGAGCAAAGAAAGACTCCGAAAGGCAGCGTACCTAACTGAAAATAAAGTTCACGTGCACTATGGTCAACTAAAGGAAGTTATGAGTTTTGGTTTGTTTTCGTCTCCTGGAAACAAACAAAAACAAGTAACTAGTAGGAAACAGTTCATAAAAAAGCGTTCTGACGCATCAAGGAATTACACAGTTTTTCACTGATGTTAGAGATCCCGTATTACATACAGTACACTAATTCTTTCTAAATGAGATAAAACTAATCATAACCCTAGAGTTCCTTGATTTCCCACCTTTCCTGGATCAGCACAGATCTCTAAAATAGGGCAGATTCCCCAGCTGCCACTCTGTCCTGCCCTTTGTAGAGGACAATGGCAGGCTCTGATGCTCAGCCTCACCAGGGTATGTCTGTGTTTAAAAATACAGAGCCAGACACTGAGCAGTTCCTTCTACAAAGAACAATTTTTAAAACTGTTTTTTGCTTAATTATTTTGATGCTGACAACTCAGGTTTTTTCCAGCTTGGCACAGGATTTAGACTTTTAAGGAGTGAGCTGAAACCGTTTTTACATATTCTCTCTTTTCTGAGTCAAGTGCAATGGGTAGCCCGCCTCCCAAGAAAGTCAGCGCTGGAAGGTTAGGCAATAGTCGCAGCTTGGCCCTCTCCACCAGAATGGTGCATGTTATTAACCATTACGCCAGCTGTTTGTGTTGAAGTTCATTTGATCTTTTTGCCACAGACTGTCCAAACAGAAGCTGGTGCGTGTGTAATACCTACTTCACAAGGATTCTACGAAGATCTAGTCATTCTAAACAGGCATTTAAGATCAGTGAGCACAGTATTTGAGTTTTGTGTTGCCACATAATGGATTAATTAACAGAGCTGCAGAGAAAATACTTCCTCGGAAAGGCTGGGCACCTTTTAATTAAAGCTGGACCTTTACCAATTTTTTATTTATTCAAAGGCCACGTGCTAGAGCCCCTCAGCACATGCACGCTCTGTCCAGACCCAGCAAAGACTTCTGCAGGACAAGTAAGAGACTTCCCAGCAAGTGTCTTGCAGGTAGAAACACGACAGAACACTGAGATAAGGTCCCCTCGCTCCATCTTATGAGGAGGGCACCAGTCTTTGTCAAAAAGTATTGCATGTACTGAGCTCTCATGGAGCGCATCTCATCCTAAAAAAACCCTGCAATACCACGGAAATTTCTAGCATTCCAACACCATGACCGATCCCTCTGGAGGAACCAACTCTTAGGTGAGTAGATAGCTTAATTCCCAGTTCTGTTCGCACCCTTGGCGCAGCCTGTCCCTCCCGTGCGAGTGCACACACGAGTGCAATGCGATTCACTAGAGAAACAGGGCTGGGTGTTGACCCGACCTGCGCCTACTGATCCAGGGTCTGCATCTCTGCATTATCACTCCCTTAAAATGCCAGTTCTCCGAACACTTGTAACAGTTGTGCTGAGTGACATGCTCGCACACGAACTGCCACGCACTGAGATCCTGAAAGTCAGCTTAATCAATCCGTAAAATGCACCCGGCCCAATAACCTCAAAGATCTATAGGTTTTCCTTTAGCTGGGACGTACACCGAGTCCATATTGCCAGTCTGGCACGTTTCTCTCTATTAAGAATATTCTTGTCGAGCTGAGGATTATTTTTAGTATTACCATGGAGAAAATACCGGGCTGTTTACTTTTCCAGACTTTCCCTGGAGACGCAGCTGCTCAATACATTTTAGTGTACAGTACATCAGTGAAGTTACAGCTCGAAGCTACATTTTCAATAGAGCAGAACTGCCTGAAACTGTGGCCTTTAAAAGCACTTGCACTTTACAAACCAAAGATGTAGTAGAGCGCTTTTTAAAAACAAGCCCTACAACATCATGAGGGGATGTTGAAAACATCAGCAGGAGATAAAGCAACCCCCTCCCCCCGCCGCACCTTGCCTCAAAATTCAGAAATGAATCTAAACTTGTCCAGAGCTCACATATACACACAGCTGAAATTTCGGATTGAACTGACAATGTAGTGAAACTTTACTCTCAAAGCTCCTTTATATCGCTCTCATTTATTTGAGAGCTTTCTAACCTTTTGGTGGTTCTTGGGCTCCCCTATCATTCTAAGACACCTGAGAAAACCCCTATTACAGGAGCCTTCTATAAGTTAATATATTTTCTTCCTAGGTTGTTCTTTCTCCACCCCTTTATTAGCAGGAGAGACGCTCCATTCTGTTGTCCTGTTTCCTCGCTTTTGCCAGAGGCACAGAGCTAGCCGCATTTTTTCCACCAGGAAGGAAGAGGTGGATGCATGCATGGTAACACATGTACACGTTCAAGCATTATGCAAACCAGCCCAGGCCACGTGCTTTTAATTGCATGCATGTTCCCAGACTTTATTTCACATCCAGGCGACCGCCTCGTGGGCCACAGGCAGAGTGGACCCCTCTCCATCACGCGCATGGACAGAACAGTGCTGCAGCCGGACCCATTGCCACGGTGCGGCACGCTGGCTGGCGGCACAGCCCGCAGCAAGGGCTCCGGCAGCGAGTGAGCGCGGGGAGCCCTGCCTGCTCCTGCCCCAGCACGAGGACCCAGCCCATTGCGATGCGGCGGCACTGAGCTTTGCCTGGCTCCCTCTCGACGCAGATGTATTAATGCAGTGCCAGAAGAAGAGCAGAGCAGACTGCAAGCCACAGTTTCATCTCTGCATTTCAGACTCCTATTTATTTATAAGACAATATATGTTTTTTCATATGCTGCCAAGAAATCAAGTTTGGGAAAAAAAAGGGCGCACGAACTTTTCATGTTCAAGTCAGTCTGAATAACAACTTGATAAAAAAAACCTCTGAAATGTAAATAGCAGTTTTTGCAAAGTCTATTAATAGCGTCAGTAACTTCACCGCTCAGTGGCTCGGCATGGCAGACGCTGGTGCCTAAGCTCGCTGCTCAGCAGGGGAAAAGCCAGTTGGGCTTCCCCCGTGCCCCTGACGGCACCGCACAGGCTCCCTCTGTGCTGCCGAGCAGCCCGAAATGCTGATCTCATGTTTGGTCTTTTGACAAATTTTCATTTAATGAATAGATTCCTACAGTTCATTAACATACCCACTTCCACTTCTGTATACACATATGTCTTAATTAGCTGCTCATTGACTGTTTAATCACAAGAAAACAGCTGACAGCTGCCTTGCTGCATCCTAATGGCAGGCGTTTTGGAATGACTGTATGTGAGCCTGAGACAACAAAGGCTTATTCATAATCCCATGATTTATGGCTAATACTTAAAGACTTCCATGTATCATTAAGTTTTGCAATATTCTGAGCAATTATCAATTAGGTGGGGGGGTTCATTATTCTACTGTTTTCTAAAGCAAACTGTTGCACATTTTCTTCAAAGAAACATCAGAAAACACACTGCCATGTGATAGACAGGTGAACACTAAAATTGGATTTTCAATCCTTGTATGACAATGAGCACACATTTTGATTGTAAAGGGAGGAGAGTGCTGCGACACTGTTTAATAAACTTTGTTAATGAAGTATTCGATAACAAAGCTTAGTGCCACCGAAAACAAGAAAAAAACGTTCAGTTTTATATACGTAATAAATACAGGAGACTGTTTACCAGGCTACACAAGGGTTCTGACTAGCCCTGTCTGTAACACAGCTCATCTTCTAACATGCTGTGCTTGAAATTGGCTCAGCCAAAAATCACAAAAACTTCGAAAGTGTGAATTCGAGGTAACTGTTTGCGATGCCAGTATGAAAGTCCACGTTCAACAGAGTAATGAAACACTGGCTAGTAAAGAATGAAACGAATGGACAAAAGTAACGCAGGACAAGGTGGGAAGTGACAATACCCCAGGTCCTGTTTTCTGAAGGAAGAAACACAGACATTCCTCGTCGTTACAATGGAGAAGCCCATCTCGGGTCTCAGAGACAGTGGAAACAACAGCCAGTACCCACACACCTTTGGGTGTGGGTGAAACGCCCAGCAATGCTCTGCGCAGAGGGCTGTACAAGACCAGCTACGCAGAGCCAAGCAACAAGAGGTCCCCGCTAACGCACTTGAGGGGCAGCCGGGCACGAGCTGACACTGTTGACGCAAAAGCCAGTAACTGCACCTGCAAAAAACTGCCCTTTTCCCGCATTATATGTTGTATATTGGGTATCAGCAACGGTTGGATAGAAAAAAATCCTCTTAAAATTTATTTTCTTTCTAATAAACCACAGGAGCCCTCCTAGATAAAATATAAAGCAGAGCCTTGCTAAAAACTTGATTTTTTTTACTAGAGGGAAAGAAGTGGAGGGGGCGTTAAATTTTGCTTACTAAAGGCAGATCCAAATTCAGCTAAATAGGTTGATGGGTTGGGAGTACTCAGTGATGTTTGTGCAAAACACAGTCACCACTTCATAAAACCAGCTGGTAACATCACAGCAAGGTAGGAAATGAAAACTTCAAGAAACGCTAATTGGCTTCGCTATAGGTCTTCAACTCTAGTTATGTAAAACGTCATGTAACAACAAAAACTGGTCAGAAACCTTTCAGTTATGTGAAATGCATGGGTCAAAGCGGGAGAAGAGCAACAGGGTCAGCCAAAGTCAACTCGACAAGAGCGTGTCTGTGATTTCATACACGATGCAGATGAAGATTGCAAAGTAGGTCTCTGAAATGAAAACTTCACTTCAGGGTTTAAGTAAATTGTGCTTCTGGTGGTTATTAGTATTTAATGTTACTAACTGAAGTGTTACTGTGTGAAGTTCACACCAGAGTGGAGCGACATGCAGAAGAGCGGACGACAGCCGACTGTGCTGCTGCTGCTGCTGCCTGCGGCAGCCAGCCCCACCGCTCTGGGGCTGTCTGCTGGCGCGCAACATCGGCTCCAGGAACCAGGGCGCGGGACCGGAGAACTGGGTCTTCATAGCAAAGTGCTTTTTACAGAAGAAGGTTTTGCGTAACATGAAGAGCGATGTAAGCGTGCTCAAACCTGCAGAGATCATAGCCACAGAAAAGCTGGGAAAGAAAACACACAGATACACACCTGGCTCATTTGGCAGAAGCCAAGCCATGCCAACTTTTTCACCAGCCAAAATAGTTCTGTTGGGTGAGACCTTGTTGACGTTACTGTGGAAGAGCGCAGCACAAACAAAATCCATCTGCCACAGCAGGGCATTTCGTATGCTGTCTAGGCCGCGACCCTGTGGCCCGTGCCCACTAGCACTCCCCTATCTGTCACTGCTTGCGGGTCACCTGGGCTCTGGCATTAAAAGCAGAGTGAGCTTCAGAGTTACTCCCCTCCTCACAGGGCAATACCTTTGTTAACTAAGTTGACATTCATGGGGTTTCAAATTCTGCCTGAAACCGTGTGGCTGTAAAACTTTATTCTGCTACCCCAAGAGAAGGGGAACATGCCTAACTTCATTCTTTGGGCCACTGTCTTTCCTACTCACACACGCTCTGCTTTCAAGGTTTGGGTGGGTTTCAGCGTGCCGAGCGTACTTGCCTCTCGCCTTCCCTTCTGAACTTTCCCACCAGCTGACCGTTCCGGTGGGATCCTCAGAAGCAGGCCGAGGACTGCACAGGGCTCCCAGAGAACTCCGGTTATACGGAATTCGGAGGAAAAGCATTTGTTCCAAAACGTAAGGAACGGCACACGCGTTTCTCACACTCAGGCTACTACCTGTTCCGACTCCTGGGGGTACACACAGGACTCTTCTCCCAGTGACTCACATTGGTGTTTGCTGCTGGGAAAGCACAGCCCCTCCAACGGAGGAATGCTCGAGGGATACGCCTGTCTCTCCCGCAGTGCCCAGTGCCCACCCGCTACGTACTAACTGGTGTGACGGCAAGTACGGTGCACTCTGTCGCAGCCGTCCTGCTGCCTTTGGTGGGGGCTCCTCTCACACACAGGCTTTCCAAGAAGGCAAGGCCAAAGCCCTGCACAAAGAGGAAGCAAAAGGCAACACGGCTGGCAGCTTTCCTCTCCTTCGGCAGCCTGCTCCTGCTCCGCAACAAGCCGTGCTGAGAGGGGCCTGTTGTCTGCACAGACAAGTGCCAGCACCATGCCAACACCAGTCTGCTGACAACGATGTCCGCCACAGATCCTGAGGCAGTCTCTCGGGTACACTGGCTCCAGACCATTCAAGGATAGATCAGGTCTTGGACCTTGAACATAACAGTACTCTGACAAGGTAGTCCTGCAGTGGAATTCTCACCGCAAATGTCTGCCACTTCACACAGCTTTAGTTTGATAAGCGCTGCCCAACCATGTAAAGCTGAAAAAAAGCAACCACATTATTAACCATGCATTTTTAGTACATTTCTTGCATATTCCATAGCAACTGCAGTTACAAAGGGCAGAAACTGCTGTCCCCGTATCACTCAAATTCTTAGATTTCCCCCTGCCTTCCTTCTTACCAATACTTTTATGAGACTGAGACAATGCGTTAACGAAAATGCACGAATCTTCCTTGGAAAAACACAAAAGAAATCTCTACAGCGTGAAAGCAAGGAAGTCACTTCTTGAAGATGAGTGGTATTATCAAGCATGTCAGGAGAGCAGACCAAAAACTGCCATAAATTCTTCACATCTGAAGTGTAGATTAACAGTGGAGAACCTATCAGCATGGGACTGCAACACGTACACCCACGAAGCAAGCAACAAGCTAGAGCAGGGCCATGCACACCGTGTCGCTCCCAAGCTAGCACTGTGACTCCGCACTAGTGACAAAAAGGAGTGATCAGCTTCACCATACTCTGGCCTAGCGTCAGCATTGTCCGATTTAATTCTTGGTTGTGAGAGACAAACTAAACAAAATATGAATACTTCTAGAGCAATCCTGGTTCACTAGTTACTGAAGGTACAAATCCAAGAAAAAACCCAAAGCTCAGACCTTACACAGCGATGGTTGCATTGCAAGGAGTAGGCACTGCGTCCGGGAAGGCCTGAGTATGCTTTACACCAGCAGCATGTGCTATTTGTGCAACACCATCTTCCACCCCAAACAGAAGAGAGTTATAACTACAGCAGATCACAAAAGAAAACTGAGAAGTCGGAGAGCTCTGGCATATCTCAACACAGCTTCTCAGTAATTTACAAAGCAAAAATGGAGAGGGAGATTCCAGGCAGCCGTGAACTCCCTTCTCAAGTGAATCCACACAACAGATTCCTTGTGGCATGGCAGAAACGGATCATCCTTCTGTACTTCTGCTTATTCACAGAGAGACAGTTTACGGCACACACAGCACAACTCCATAGTTTTTTAAGCTTGTCCTGAAATACATGTGTGTATGTGACAAAAATGCCCTATTTAAAACCCAGATAAAAGCAGTACTTCAGAATCCCCAGTTGATTTCATATTCTTTGAAATGGAATCCAACGACCCAACTGTCGCACACTGCTTGCTCTTTAAAAGAGGAAGAAAATAATCACTATCAAAAGGCTAAATGCTGTTTTAAGACTTAATATTTTAGCAGCTTACCTTGCAGCCTTCACATGTAATGACACCATAATGGATTCCTGATGATTTGTCTCCACAGATCTTGCATGGAATAATTTCAATTTGAGCTGCAACAGAAGCACGCAACCAGTTAATTACATTTTCTTTTAAACACCTTATAAAAGCATTCCCTGATCAGCATTTGTACAGTGAAAACTAATAACCTGCTAAACATTATACTGCATTAACTATTCATTGCTGAGCTGCAAGGGTCCCCTAGAGCTTTGGAGTAAATTATGGCTGCTCGTTATATAATAGCTTTTGGGTTATTAAAATGGGTCATTTGAGAAGGTGTTTAAGAACCCACAAGAAGGCTCGAATCAGCATTTCAAAGCCAAAAAGAATAGGAGAGTTCACATATTGGCCAAAGAGCTAAGACGACACTAGGAAGGTTTCTTCCAATCTCTTTGCTTTGAGACTGCAGAAGGTAATTTTTAAGTTTGCCCTGCCTGAAAACGAATGCAACAGCTTTACTGGAGGGGTCACCATCATGCCACCCAGCTCTCATGTCTGGATGATCCAGAAGAGAAGCAACAACGTAAACAGCAACTACATTTTCTACAAGAAAACCAATGTTCACATATCTGAATTGAAAGGGAGTTATCAGTACACATTTGTTTATTAGCTACCATAGAAGACACAAGGGAGGAAAATACAGCAGTATTCTAGTCGACTTACAGCAACCAAGGACTCGGTGCAGTCTGGAAAAAGACGGAGAGGTACGCAATATGAAAGCCCTGATTTTTTAAGTTGAACTTCATACATATAAAACATACCTACCAAATTCAGTTTCGTGTGTGACAAAGCTCTCTGCATCTCTCTCTAACTCACAGCACCTTCCCACCTGAATGCATGGGCGTAAGAAGGGACTCTGGGTGCTCAGCAACACCTCTGCACCTGCTGTTGGAGTACCTGGCTGCAGCCATTTTGCTAGGGAGTCTCTTCGGACAGGAGCACGCTGAGGCAGTGCGTTACAGTACCACAGACCAGCAGCCCACATTTTACATGCACTTGCATGTATCCAGGCAAACACAGACCGTATGCATTAGGTAAATAAGATCACCACAAAACCCCAAGCAAGCACCTTCTTGGCTGTAATGGTGTTAGGATCAGGCTACATTGGTTTTCCTGAACCAGCTTAGTCCAAGCAGGAGTACAAATGCAACTCTTGCTATGAGTATCACTGTGACATATTAACACGAAGAAGTGCTGTCAATCGCCTGCGAGGAACTGAAATCCACCCATGAGATGCCTGGTTGTTTCAGAGAGCTTTTATTTCAGCCAGCTGACAGCTATCCAGACTGTGACAATACATAAAATAGCATCTAATACAATCTTAAAATGCATTAGCTTAACTTCCGTTGTCTGCTTAACACTGTTTTCAAAAAGTCATGTCCACTCTTACAACCGCTGCTTTTTACATGCCATCAAATCCTAACTGACTGCTCCCTACAGAACAAGGACCACCTCCCACTGCTGCCATGTGCTCCGTTTCATTGCAGCCCAACGTCACAGCTCAGGATCAGGCCAAGACTGTAAGGTAACTATAAACTAGAAGATCAGAAGACCTCCAGCACAGCACAGACCGTGCTAAAGTCCTCCTTCACAGTATTCTGCAGACACCAGGAGCTATGCCGACCACAGCCGCTGCGCAGCACAGAGCGGTGCTGGCGTACTCCCAGGAAGCCAAGAGCAGCCCCAAGGCCTTGTCCTGCTGCGTGACGCAGCGCCCAGCAGCCATGGGACTGCAGTGCTGCTTGCCCGACAGCTCCGCACCGGCAGCTTGGCAAACGGTGTCATTCCGCCGGACACCACCACAACACTGTGAGGGCCTCTGCGTTCCCAACCTTCAGTCCCCTGCCTTCCCTGCCTCAACAAAGCGATGGGCTGACATTAAAAGGTCTGTTTAGGACACTCAAGGAAGGAAGTAGTTCTTCCCTGCAGTCCTCCAAAAACTGTTTTATTTTCACTTTGCTCTCAGCTAACACATTAAACACAATGGAGCGGGCAGTGAACTAATAAAAGGGAAAAACAGAGTGCATGCTATTTTATTAATGCGTTACATTAATTATTCTTTAAGCATCATATGTTTATGAACAAAGCTTCCAGCAGAAAGGGCAGCATAACCTGACTTTACATCAACAAATTGAATGGCAGACTGAAATTCACAGAAGCTCAAAAATTGTAAAACGTGCAGTTCAAATTCCGAGAGCAATCCTGTGGGCAAATTCCAGAATGGATCTGCCGATTCCCAGCTGTGTCTTTTCAATTTATGATTATTTTTCTACTCTGCTACCATGAATAGGGAGCCCTGAAGTCCTTTGACAGGGTAGTGACAAGGCTAATCTCACCAGCTACATGGCAATGTATTTTTGACTTTTCACTTTTATACACTTAATTACTGCCTTATTTTGAATAGGTATGATATAATTGGATCCTGTTTATCTACCATCTCCAGCACATTAGCTAAACGACCCATGAAGCTGGTCTACGCAATCTCTGTTTCTTAAGCGCCGGGACATTTGCAGAGTGTTTCTGAAGGAATGTAACATGCCTTCAAAAGTGATGGCCTAAAGCTAGGTTACTAATAGTCTAAAAGGTGCCATAACGAGTCCCAAATGCATTTTCCAGGGTGCTTTACTGTTCGAAGAGAATCTCCGCAGATTCACAGGCTCCAGCTGTGCCAGCGTTTGCTGACCACTGTGTGTACGAGCAGCGGCACCAAATCAGGTATAATTTTAGAATTCCAGATTTCCTTCTATGTACTACTTCAAGGTACTTACTTCCAATTAAGCACGCAGCATTTGAAACTTCAGCTTCTCGATCCACTCTGAGCAACGGGACAGTGGGATGAAACGCAGAAGCATAAATCGCTTGGGACTGCCGCAACCCATCACGTGGTTGCCTTTGCAAATCCACTCATTGAAACGGAATCCCTGTCGCAAGTCCATACACTTTCCATACAGCATGAAAGGACTTACATACTTTAAACTTACTAAATGCAAATTGCGGGTGCCAAGATAATGCATTTTTCTTACAAGGGTGAAAATATTTTCCCCACTTTTAACTTTGACATGCAAATATGTACTTGCTAAAACCTTGTTCTTATGCAAACAAGGCAGGTGGGAAATATTTTTACATGTGAAGAATATGCTCCAACTTGGTTTTTCACATTCCCAGGGTTACTTAAAGCTTCCTACTGTGCTCACATTAATTGTACCTGTTCTGTGCTTACATATATTTATACAGCATATTTTCCAAGATTATATAAAATACTCTAATTCATGCTTTAGACTAGAATTAGCCTAAATTACAGTTTACAATTTCTGTCTCCTGGGGTGGTGCTCAGGCTGATTCTGGTTTGTGCATGAGCAAATTATTTCTTAAATTTGAATTGCAGGAAAAAAATGAACTCTTGTGGTTGCTTAGAAACCGCTGCAGATACCCAGGTGACCGATGTAGTTTGTATTCCCAGATTAAAGGCCTAAGAACCTTTCACACCCTGAAATAACAGTGCTCTAGAATACTACCAGGATGTCCTGTGCCAAAGGCAGCAATGAGCAGGGATAAAAACCACCAAGTGCAAAAAAAGGCAAGCGCAAGCACAGAGACCCAGGCAAGCATCGAACCAGATGCTACAGAAACGGCTCTTGAGAGAGAGGAATGACCACTGAGGGCTGGAGGTGGTAATCGTTACGAACTGATGCCACAGCCAAGGAAAACTCGCCTCCACAGGAAAGGGCATCTGACATCCACCGAGATCTCTCAGCACACGTGACTTCAACACAGAGCTCTTTCTCTCACTGGAACGCCCGGTAACCTTCCCTCTGCTGTAATCTCACAGGATCTTCAAACCGACTGCAGGCTCTTTGGTTTGCTCAACACGAGACAGAACAGGAACTTCAGCCCACGTACTACAGGGGAAAAAAAAGCCCGCGTTTTTCCTCTGAACCTTTCTTCTTCTGCCACGCACTGCCTCTTCCCTTGGCGATGCCTGAAGGAGCACCGGTATGCTCCAAGCACACAGCTGCCTCCACCTAACTCCTAGGGAACACGCCTACCCGATGGCCAGCGAGAGCACCAAACCGCAGAACAGTATGCCTTATGCCGCCCTACTCCAGGCCTTCGCTGCCTCCCCCAGATCCACAACACTTTCACCGGGCTGGCCTGCCTTTTTCAAGCTCCCTCCCCTCTTCATTAATCCCCGCATCATGGAATGCTGCTTTATCCCTTATCTGGTTTGAGCAGCAGAGGAGGAGAGAAATCCAGTTCTGTATTTGGAAGCACACGCTCACCATAATCTTTAGTTTCTAACTCCTTGGGCAGACTCCAGTCAGGACAAGAGCCTGTACAGTCCAGTAAAGCACGGGGCATCTTCCTCCCCAGTTCTGCCGTTGACTTGGAAACACACTGAGCCTCAACACAGGAAAGCGTATTACCAGTCCACCCTGAAGAAAACCTTTTTCAAAAGAAAAAATTGTTTTCTGAAGACAGAAGTTTTTTCCTCCCCACTGTATGGGAATGAAATGTTTGTTTCTGGTGAATTAATTGTCTTGGGGTAGAAAAAGGTTTTTCCCACTCCTCCTCCTGCTTTCATACTATTATTTTAAAATTGTACATTCACACAGATCACGTTATATTTTCCAATTCACAACGGGAATGAAATCCCAGATTCGGTATCCTGGGAAGGGCTCTTCAGTGGCAGCAAAAATTGGTCCCCATTCCTGCCTTTTAGGTGAGATTCGCCTAGCTGACCTGAGCTATCTTGAAAGTTGGGTAATTAGTTGAAGTTAATTGTCTTGTCTACTTCTAGAGTGATGAGGAAGGGAGGGAGGAAGAAACAGAGAGGGAGAAAAAGAAAGGGAGGGAGAAAGCAAGAAGCAAAAAGGGAGAAGGGGCATGATTCATCTCCTTCAAGACAAGTGAGATGAGCCCCTGAGCCAAGATGCCTCCTCTCCACCCACCAGAGAAGGAATTTAATGACGCCTTAATCACAAACCTAACTTTTAGAAGGTGAAAGTCAGGTGAATCCTACTGCCTCTTACCAGTTCTGAACTAAAAAATTAGC